CACACACTCAACAGAGTTCCATCTAAAGCTGTCGAGAGCACACCATACGAACTATGGCGTGGGAGAAAACCGAGTTTCTCGTACTTTAAGATTTGGGGCTGTGAAGCTTATGTAAAACGTCTCATGACGTCTAGTAAGTTGGAGCCTAAATCTGATAAAGTAATTTTTGTGGGATACCCCAAGGAAACTAGAGGGTATGAGTTCTATCATCCATCCGATAACAAAATTTTCGTTGCTCGGAATGGAACCTTCCTTGAGAAGGAGTTTCTTTCTGCTATCACTAGTGGGAGAAAGGTAGACCTCAAAGAAATTCGAGAACCACAAGAAGAAGTCCCGATAGTGTTGGAACCTGAGCAAAGAGATCAAGCAATTGAACCTCAAATTGCTCAAGATACACCATGTAGGTCAGACCGGATACGTAATCCTCCGGTCAGATATGGATTTCTCATGTCTGATGAAGGTGACGTGTTGTTGGTAGATCAAGGCGAACCACAGACCTACCTCGAGGCAATTACATGCCCCGAATCCGATCTATGGCTCGAAGCCATGAAATCTGAAATGGAGTCTATGTACACAAACCAAGTCTGGACCTTGGTTGATGCGCCCGAAGGGGTAAAACCCATTGGATGCAAGTGAGTCTTCAAAAAGAAGACAGACGTAGACGGGAAGGTTCATACCTTCAAAGCTCGATTGGTAGCAAAAGGTTATAGGCAAATCCGCGGAATTGACTATGATGAAACCTTTTCTCCAGTTGTTATGTTAAAATCCATTCGGATAATGCTTGCGATTGCAGCCTATTACGATTACGAAATTTGGCAGATGGACGTCAAGACGGCTTTCCTTAACGGGAACCTCAAAGAGGATGTCTTCATGACATAGCCTGACGGTTTTCAAATTGCTGGTCAGTCTGCCAAAGTTTGTAAACTGCTACGTGCAATCTACGGATTGAAACAAGCATCTCGGAGTTGGTACATACGCTTCGACGAAACCATTTCCAGTTTTGGTTTCGAGAAGAACTCTGATGAATCTTGTGTATACAAGAAGGTCAGTGGGAGTGTAATAGTATTCCTACGTAAAAATGTAAATAGAAAAGGAGAATAGGAATATACAAATAGAACGGGCATACCCGAGCTTGCAATTGGCAAAGTGCCAAAGCCAAAGAGACAAACTGGTTACATCACCAATAAGTCAAACATACACCCAGACATAAACCAAGCTAATGAAAAACAGTGGCACACAAGCCCAAAATACAACAATGCCCAGCAAACAAAAGTTCAATAAGGAACTAAATACAAAGGCCAAAGTCTTCCCATAATAGAGTAAACCATTACTCTAATTTTACAAATCATACCGTCAACCTGTAGAGTTTCTTGGTTAAAGTGAATAGCATTCCGTTGTTTCACTACGTCAAAAACAGATGCTGACAACTGTTTCTTTTAGTAGTCTCTCGGTGCTGATTTCAGTAGTCTTCCGAGCAGCTGTCTGATATATTTATAGACTATTGTTTAAAACAATTGTGTAAAATGGTTGACGACACCTGTTTTGTAATGTTTTAAAGTACCACTTTTTAGTGTTGTCCCCGTATGAGTAAGACATCTGTTTTTTAGAGTTAAAGAGAACTGTGATTTTTTGTTGTTTATCTATAATGAACACTACTGTTGTTTTTAACTTCAGACTCCTAATTTTTGGTGTTGTCGTTCAACAATATAGACATCTACTTTAAAAAGTAATTGAAAGATATATCAGACTGCTGCTCGGAAGACTACTAAACAAAAATAGGATTAGACAACTGTTATCTTTTGTTGTATTTCTAGAATATGGACTACTAATTTTGCTATATTTTAAACAACCGTTTCTTTCAGTTGTATGGTGCTCAATAACACTACGTTTTTTTATAGTTGTCCTTGAAATATTCAAACTATCATTTTACACACTAGTCAAATTATAAATCAGACTACTGCGCCGAAGACAACTAAGTATGTTTGCATAAACAACTGCTATTATGTGTTGTATTTTTAAAATGTAAACAACCTTATCTGTTGTATTTCATACAACTGTTTGTTTAAATTGTCTAATGTTTATTAACAATTCAAGTTTGTGTAGAAAACTATTTAAATACATTGTAAAGCTTTTTGAAAGACTACTATATTTCAATTTACAATTATATTTAATAATTAAAATTTATTTCAATTCTAAAATATTGATCATGAAACAAAAATAAATTCCAAAATGTACAATATATTGAATAATATCTAAATACATACAAATATACAATCCAAAATCTTAATAACATCTAATAATTTAATCTTTACATAATTAAAATCACATTCTAATTGTCCATTGAGCATGCCTAATTTAGTTATTTGTCCCCTCAATAACATCCAGCATTGAATCAGGGGAAAATAGACCTTCAATTCTTGATGCCATTGTGACCATGATAATCTGCAAGCAAAACATATATGAGTTGAATCACCAAAAGATTAACCTAACCGAGGAAAAGAACCTTCATGCAAGTGACTAGTAGAGGTTTGTGATTAATCTGCAGTCATATCAGTATGATTAGGAGTATTGCCTTTATGCTCACTTAAACAAGTGATAGTATTAAAATCACTGCCAATAAACCATTGGTGTGAAATGACAGAGGTGTCAATAATATTTTTCAAGA